AGCGGCGGCGGCGGCGGTGGCGGCGGCGGCGGTTCTCTACCTCCGAAGATCGGCGGTTCCATGGAGGCGTACAGGTTCGACTCGAGTGCGCTGGAACGGGCCGCCGCGGCCGCCAAGGAACTCGAAAGATCCAGTACGATATATGATTTTTTTTCTCGCAATTTAGTAGCGCGAACCAGTGCAATTACGTAAGCCGCTGTTTTCGAGGTTAAGCATACGGGACGGAGAATCGCCTCGTGCGCGCGGAATGACGCAACTTTCCGCGAAAAACTCGTCGATCGATCGACAAGTAACGATTTTTTTTTTTTAGCGAAGAACTAAAAATAACGAATCTTCGCGGACAATGCCAGACAAATCGATGTTAACTATATTTGATTGCAATTTTTATTATTTCTTTCAGATGATACACAAATTTACGCAACGCACTTTGCAACGTCTTGTTTTCTCAAATCATGAATGAATATTGACGCGAGGAAAGATCTTGCGTTTGAATTGCTTTTGTTTTAACGTCGCACAGATAGAATATGTGAGAGAGACATTGATGTAACAGCTAAATAATCTGTAAAAAAATATAGAACGCAATTGCTTAAATATATTTAATTTGTTCGCAACATCAGAGGTGCTGTTTTGAACGGACTGAACTTGCGAGTTTATTTTTTGTCACACAGAACATGCGAAAGACGCGTTGGATCTGTCGAAAATGCAAGAAACCACCAAGCAAGTGGAATTGCAGACCGAATTGAAAAAGTACGAGGCCAGCATCGAGCAGCTTAAAGCGGAGCAAAAGCGGGTTGAAGGTGAGGAGAGAAGAAAAACTATACAAGAAGAGACCAAGCAGCATCAGATGAGGGCGCAGTATCAGGATCAATTAGCTAGGAAACGTTACGAGGATCAATTAATGCAGCAACAGAAAATGAACGACGAGAATCTAAGAAGACAGGAAGAATCGGTGGCGAAACAAGAAGCCATGAGGAAAGCAACGATAGAACACGAGATGGAATTGAGACACAAAAATGAGATGAGAAAATTAGATGCGGAATTAAAAGCGAAAGCAAAGATTGATAGAGAAAATCAAGATCTTAACTTAGAACAGATTCGATTAAAAGCTTCGGAGAAGAGAATTACTGTTTTAGAATCAATAAAGTAAACAATATTATTTCATCGATACTTACATCTTACTGTCTTTATGAGAATTGTATGTAATATAATTGTACTTTTTTCAGAACAGCTGGTTCAGTATTGGGTTCGGGAGCGAAGGCTCTGCTCGAGGACTGGGATAAGATTCTCGCAGCAGCCGGCGGACTGTCGCTCGTGGCCTTCGGAATATACACCGCCAAGGGTTCGACCAGCGTGGCGTCGCGCTACATCGAGTCCCGCTTGGGAAAACCGTCGTTGGTGCGCGAAACTTCGCGATTCTCGTTCCTCGACACTGTTCGCCATCCGATTCTCGCGGCGAAACGGCTAAAGAGCAAACAAACGGACGCGTTATCCGGTGTAATTCTCGCGCCCAAACTGGAGGAGCGGTTGCGGGACGTCGCAATCGCCACAAAGAACACGAAGCAGAATCGCGGCATGTACAGGAACATACTTATGCACGGTCCGCCGGGTACCGGCAAAACGATGTTCGCGAAGAAGCTGGCGGAGCACTCGGGTATGGATTACGCGATCGTAACAGGCGGCGATCTAGCGCCGCTCGGTCGAGACGGCGTGACCGCCATTCACAAGGTATTCGATTGGGCGTTAACGTCGCGGAAGGGACTGCTGCTGTTTATCGACGAGGCGGACGCATTTTTGCGGAAACGCTCGAGCGAGCACATCTCCGAGGATCTGCGAGCGATGCTGAATGCGTTTTTGTATCGCACCGGCGAACAGAGTAACAAGTTCATGCTTGTGCTCGCCTCAAATACGCCCGAACAGTTCGATTGGGCGGTGAACGATCGATTGGACGAGATGGTGGAATTTCGTCTTCCGGGTCGCGAGGAGCGCGAGCGTCTGGTTCGGCTCTACTTCGACAAGTTCGTTCTACAGCCGGCCATCGAGGGCAACAAGCGATTGAAAGTCGCTCAATTCGATTATAGCTCGCTGTGCAGCAAAATGGCAGATCTAACGGAGGGAATGTCCGGCAGAGAATTGGCGAAACTCGGAGTTTCGTGGCAGGCGGCCGCCTACGCCTCGGAGGACGGTGTGTTGACGGAGAAAATGGTTATGGACAGATGTCTTGAGGCTGTCAAACAACACAAACAAAAGGTACTTTAATGTTCTTTCCAAAGAAAATTAACGTGAAAATTCTTAAGTGAAAAATGTAAAAAACAAATTTTTTTAACGTTGGGATTTACGTAATTTTAAAAAAGTGTTTTTAAAATCCATCCAATGTTATTTTTTTGTGTTACACAGGTGCAGTGGCAGAGCGAGCAAGAAAAGCAGGAATCGAAGTCGATATACGCCACGGAGGACGACGCGGTTGTTCGTTCGACGACTTCGAAGATTCCGGCGATAGAGCCGTGTCCTGGAAATACAATAGCTCCGGCTTAGAGAGATACGGGACTAATAGGCACCAGGGTTCAATCGTCGATAGTCTTCGAATGAGAGATCGGGCTACTAGAAAAATCAGTTACTAAGGACAATTAGTGCTTAAGCGCTAAAAAAATTGAAGACAAAGTACAAACGACGCCGGGAAGAAGATTATTCTGGCGATCTTTGTATTTATATCAACGTGATCCAACGTTTCCGAAAGAAGCGAGATCTTGGGTTTGCAAGATTCGACAGTCACAAATGTCACTTGTTACAAATGTACATTCATATAGAATAATTAAATTTTGATCCTAATATTTGAATTTTGTCATTTTTTACCGTCACTCCGTAACACTTTATAACAAAAATATGATGAAAACGATGATTAGCTCCAGATAATTTATAATAGTGTGGTTAAGGCAGTTAGAGCATAACACCGGTGTTGATGTGTAAATGTGTAAGAAGTTGATTTATTTAAACATGAGTGAGTATAAATAAACGTTTCGACCTTCTTTTTAGGTCCTTATCAATTAGATACGCTGATGTTATTATCTTCGCAATAAGATGTACATTTTACAAAAACATGTTGCACGAGAGCTCAGTAGCAACACCGGTGTTATGCTCTAACTGCCTTAACCACACTATTATACTTTATAACAATTTTTTCTCGGATGTGAATGACGCAAACAGACGCGATCAATTTTATATGTTTATTCGAAAAAAAAAAAAAAAAAACGAATGGCAAAATGTATCAAAGCTCGTTTATACATAAAAACGTCGTATCAACGACACCAGATACACTTTTGATACACTCTCATCGCGCGAATTACCCGAATTAATAAGATTTAATTATTTGGATCTTATTGTGACTTTTTTGCGCGCACAAAATTGGATATTCCAAATCATATAATGGACGTTAATGAGCGATACGGTGTCAACCTACATCGCAATTCTGAGTAAATTACGTTTTAAGATTAAAAAAAAAAAAAAGATGTTTGTATATGTTTTTTTTTAAGATGTTTGTGTATTTTTGATATACAGGGTGTCCCAGAATTGCCGTACAATCTCTTGTAGGTAGGTAGAAAGAGTAAAACTGAGTCAAAAAGTCCTGAACGAGTTTTTTGTATTACTTATAATAAAGGATTTAATTATTGAATAAATCAAGCCAATCAGCGCCGATCATTACCCGGGCGCACGTCAGTGAGCCGCGCGGAGCACATCAGACGCATGGTTGACTGACGTGCGGCCCGGCTAAAGTCGGCGCTGATTGGCTTGATTTATTCAATAATTACTTCTTTATTATAAGTAATAGAAAAAAATGATTCAGGACTTTTCGACTCAATTTTACTCCTTCTACCTACCTACGAGAGATTGTACGGCAATTCCAGGACATTCTGTATACAGGGTGTCCCAGCAAGTCCGTATCACCGCTCGTAGGCAAGTAGAAGAGGGTTATTCTGAGTCGAAAAGTTCTTTTTACCATTTTGCGAGATTCGGAATAATTAACGAATTCTTAATAAATAAAGATCCGCGAATGCGGAGGGTGACAGCTCCGAGCTGTTATTTTGCACGTGGCTGCGCGCTCATTCGCGGATCTTTATTTATTAAGAATTTGTTAATTATATTCGTTAATTTGTGTGCGAATCTCGCAAAATAGTAAAAAGGACTTTTCGACTCAGAATAACCCCTTCTACTTGCCTACGAGTGGTGATACGGACTTGCTGGGACACCCTGTATATAAAAACATTTAAGTTTTTAAAAACAATTGAAAAACGTTCTTTGACAGAACTTCTGAAAGAAGCACACTACGTAAGTATCTCAATATTTCATTTATTGTGGGTTGATACTGTATTGCTTATTAGCGTCCGCGTAGGAAGAAACACACTTTAGCACGACAGAAACTAACTGTTTCACATTGGGTTTTCACACAACACCGAAGAGAAATTTATCTCGTTTCGTTTTTTTTTTTTTTTTTTTTCTGAAGAAATTCTGAGAAATACGACTGAGTAAAAATGAAAAATATGCATGCTTAGACATCAAAACAAGCGAGACAGTCAATATCACATTTTTTTACGAACACATTAACTGAAACACATTAACGCGAAGAAAGGAATTTACGACTCGTGTGACTTCCCCACAATCGCGCTTACAATTAATCTTGGTTTTTCTTCGGAGCGCAAATGTGCGAGTGTAGAACATCTTGCAGAGAATAATATTGTGATAAAATTTGTGGATTTATTTATTGTATGAATTTGTTCGACAATTTATCCGCGATTTTGATGGCTGCGCGTCGCAACATTAAAATTAACTTGGCAGCTGCACATTTTATGAAACTTTTCGGAATATAGCATCGATTTGTGTCGGTTTCGCTTTAGAACAAAAAAAAAAGAAGAAATGAGAGAGAGAGAGAGAGAGAGAGAGAGAGAAAGCATCATTTTTGTATTGAGCGCTCCGGGATAAAATCCCCTTAAGCGCAAAATACAAATAAACTGTGAGATTGTTCATATAACATAATAATAAATTCAACGGAAATATATTTATTTATTTATTGATACTTCAGCCTAGCGGCCAAGAAAGGAACTTGGTTACATCTTTCTTACAACACACCTTTTGTCTCTTATCATACCATATCATATTTCATATCTCGTGTTTCGGGCACGCTTGCTACATCTATTATCCTTACTGATCTGACCTGCTCTATCTAATCTCTTATCTCTTTCTCTTACCTTTCCTACAATATAAATATTCAAAATATCACACAATTTGGTTTTAATTTTACTTCTCACTATCACGAGTATTATACAATCACGAAATCATAGAATCCCACCTCACAAACATATTACTTATATTACATATGCACAGATATATAACTCCACTACACCATCTTATATTACACTTTTTATTACACTTGTTTGCTTATTTTAACTTAAATTATCTTATCTTAGTTTAAAATTATTTCTTCTATACTCTTTATACGCGTTTCCTAATTTCTTTCTTTTAATTAGTTAAACCACCTCTCTTTCCTCTTCCTCTTCCACATCCTGACTAGAGTTTATTTTATTTTCTTCTTTTTCTTCTCCTACCTTCTTTTTCTCTCTGAGTCTTTTTTCTTTTTTTTCCATAGTCTTACTAGTACCCTTACCTTTTTCTTTTCCTAGATTATCATCAAATATATTATCAATTCTTTCCCTATTGTCTTTACCTAGCTTATTAAACCATTCCTTAACTATCTCGCAATCCTCCACATAATGTTTTATATCATCCTGCCCTTCGACGGAAATATAAAATATATACAAAAAGAATAAAAATAAAAAGAAAAATATCAAAATTCAAAACAAATAAAAAGAAAAAGATAGTTATAATAACAATAACAATAGTACTAAGTAGAATGTAGACAGACTAACACCAATGACAAAAGTGTAGTCGATCAAACGTGAAGTAAATTTATGACAATTAATTAATAAGAGCGGCAACCATCCAATAAATAGGCAAACATCAAACTCTTGAATAAGCTAAGAGATTGAGTGACACGCAAATGTGAAAAAATTTTATTCCACGTAGCAATAGCAGAGCATGCAAAGGAGCGTCTGTAGATTTCAGTTCGGTACATCTCGAGAGAGAGAGAGAGAGATAAAAGTCAGAATTGCGTATCAAGTGGAATTGATTGCGAAACTTTACATGATAAAATATTAAATAGATCATCGCGCCGGCGTCGTCCAGCTTAATCACGTGGCGTAATTTTCACTTTGCGTAATTGACATTGAACATCAGACGGGCGTTACACACATTAATGCGACATTAATATAAGACTCGGTCATATTTTTGCGTAATTGTACAAGAGCGACCTATCATCTTCCCGACAACACGCGTCGCTCCTTGCACCGTTCGATTGTTGAAGATAATTTAACAGAAAAGAGGCGCTGGGCGAGTACGCGGGAGCGAAAAGAGCATCTTCCAGTCATAATATAATAACAGTCATAACGTATAACAGCAGTGCTTTTTATGTGACAGAACATCGAACAGATAACTTATTTTTGTGTCATATCTGACAATTAGCACGCGTCGTGACAGAAACGTAAACAGCAATTATATTGGTTGTCGGCGAGCGCGGGACAATTCGTGACAGCGCATATACGTGCAAGGCTTATTCGCGTTGTTTTGCACGAACAGAACAATAAAACACGATTAAATAAAAAAATAAAATTTAATTAAAAAAACAAAAAAATTCTTAGAGATTTTATTTTTTACTGTTAAAATGCTCTACTCACGTTTTAAATTAATTAGCGGAAAAAAGCGGAGCCATGAACATGTATATACGTATATATATATATAATATATATAATATATAATAATTATTATATAATATATATAATTATATATAATTATTATATAATATATATAAATAATTATTATATATAATATATATAA